CTCAGTCTCCAGGGAGGGGAATCCCTTTTTTGGGAATTGGGTCCAGGGCATACCTATTCAGACACCACAGGGCACCCCGTGGGACTCGGCCAGCCTCCCTGGAGCCTGCGTCTCTCCCCTGGTCCGCCCTCCCAGGGGGCCAACTCCCGCCTCCCTAAAGGCCACGCCTTGAGCTGGCTGCCTGTCCGAACGGAAGTCTTCCCACTGATGTCACCTGTGTCACCCGTCCACACCACCTCAGCCAGTCCTCAGGGCCACCTGCCTGTGTTCCTTGCCGGGGCCATCCTACCCGGACTGGAACATTAGCCCATGCACACACACGGCCAGGCAGTCCCCCCGCGCCCTGCTGCCCTACTCCACAGTTCTCTCCTATTGGGACCCCACTATGCTATTTCCCCTCCCATTTCTGACTCCCTCTCCTTGGGCTGGTTCTCTTCATGTTCACAGCTGGAAATTCCAGGGCTGGCTCTAATTTCCTCCTTGTACTCATTAAGTTTACTCAGGACCATCATCTTCCTGAGTCCTCAGCAGCTCCAGCAGGGACCCCCACACCCACTTACAGTCACGCCTCATCCTGCCATCCCCCCAGGAGCTAGGCAGCCACTTGCTTGCTGTCTCTGTAGACTTGGGTCTTCCAGCATTGCCCGGAAGCGGAGTTGCCCCAGGAGTTTGTGCCTGACTTCTGGCAGCTGCTCAAGGTTCACTCATGCTGTTGCAGGTGATCCATGGACTTGTTCCCTTTTGATTGCTGGGTAGTATTCCACGGGCTCCACATCACCTTTGGCATGTCTGTTTCTTAGTCAATAGGCATTTGAGATGCTTCCGCTATGAACAGCGGCTGTCACTGTGAAGTTTGGACACAGCGTTTTGGGTGGGCAAAGGTTCCTCCTTTTCCTAACTATAAATCTAGGAATGTGTTGCTGGGGCCTGTGGTCGGGCTGTGTTCTGGAGGAACTGCTGGCCAGTTTCCCACGCGAGGCTGTACCGTTCTAGACTCGCCAGCACTGTGGGAGGGTTCAAGTTCACACGCTCGCCACACTTGTAACCACCTGATGTTTTTATTTCAGCCAGCCCTGCTGATACCAAGCGGCATCTTAGTGGTTTTGATTTGCATTTCCCTAATGGACCAACTCCCACTATTGTTTAAAAGGTTTATTTATTAGAGAGAGAGAGAGAGAGAGAGTAAAATATCTTTCATCCGCAAGAGTATCTTCCAAGCTGACGTGGCTGGTCCAGGATGACATGGGCAGCCTGAGCTCCGTCCTTCTCTCCCAGGGCTCAAGCACTTGGGCCAGCTCTTGCTACTTTTCCCAGGCACATTAGCAGGAAATCGGATCAGAAGCAGAGATGCTGGGACTTGCACTGCTGCCCTAACATGGGATGCTGGCACCGCAGGCAGCAGCTGGGGCCCACCAGTCGCTCTCATTGACCTTACACCTATGCCAAGAACATGGCTGCACCTTCCACCTCCCACTGGAGCTGCTGCTCTTGTCCGATGTCATACAGCGACATCACCAAACCAATGGCCAATTCTCGGGCCTTCCAGTGGGTGATCTGGCAGCAGCTGACCCATCCAATCCCTCTCCCCTTGAAATGCACCCTTCTCTTGGCTTCCAGAATACCCACTGCTTGGCTTTGCTCCTCCCCAGCCTTCTGTCCTGGGTCCTCTCCACGAGTCTGCTTTTAACGCTGGGGAGCTCTCATCTCACCTTCTCCATCCACCTCCCAACACCCATGCTCACACAGGTTCCTGGGAGGCAAAACTCCCCCCCACACACACATACACACACCCCAATGATCTCACAATGCCTTCCCTCGGACATCCGATGAGCACCTCAGACCTGATCCCTGCCCGCTCCGCCATGGCACTCACGGCACCTGTCCCTCTACCCATCTCCTTAGCTCAGGAAACAAAAGCGCGGCTTCTAAGCTGCTCAGGCTCAAAGTGCTAAAGCATGGTCCAACACAGAGCGCCAACAGGCTAATCCTCTCCCTGCAAGTGCTGGTATCCTGTATGCGAGCCAGTTCGTGTCCCGGATGCTCCACTTCCCATCCAGCTCCCTGCTTAAGGCCTAGGGAAGTGGCAGAGAATGGTTCAAGTCCTTGGGACCCTGTACTCACATGGGAGACCCAGAAAAAAAAAAAAAAAAAACTCCTGGCTCCCAGCTATGGATCAGCTTAGCTCCAGCCACTGCAGCATTTGGGGAGTGAACCAGTGGATGGAAGATATTTCTCCGTCTCTCCTTTTCTCTGTAAATCTGCCCTTCAAATACATTTTCAAAAACGCTAAACTGTCCCCAAGAATAACCACTATCACGTGGCACTGCTGTGATTTTTTTTCCCCGGCATTCACTGATTCAAGCAGCAAAAACGCTTGCCAAGTACCTGCTGAATCCCACATCCCCTGCCAGCTTTCCAGGAGAGCCACACGGCTCTGTGCCGAGTAAGGCTGTCACCCAGAACCAGGGACACCCAAACATATGCTTCTAGCCTGCTGCTGACACACAGCAACACCAGCTGACTACGCACCCCCCAAGACTGCAAATCCAGCTCCCCAGCTGTGCTGGGCACCTGGCATGGCTTCAAGGCCACAGGCAACAGGTGCAGCCACCCTGGAACGGCCATTCCAGAACACTGCCGTGGGGCAGGGGCTCAGGCGGCTGCTGCCATCACACCTCACCTTCTCTCTCTCACACCCAGCCTTCCCTTCCACGGGCAAACCCCTCACCCCCAGCTTCAGGGCAGAAGGGGGGTGAGTGAGCGCTCTGCACTGTCCCTGCCCCCACACTGCCCCCGTGAGCAGCATTACCTGCAGGACCCAAACACGGACTCCTGTTCCCACCCAGGTCCCCTATGGGCTGTGAACTGCTCAGCCACCGCCTCTGGCTGAACCACGGCCTTCTCTGGCTCAAAGCTCGTCCCTGCACTCAGCTGCCAGTGGCCGGCAGCCCAAGCATCTGCCCTCCTGTCCTGTCTCCCACCTCTGTTCCCTGCCTTCACTGTCTGCCTATATCCCCTACAGTGTTGCACTGCCACCTGGAGATGTTTTTTTGTTGGCCTGGCACACTTTTTAAGATTTGTTTTTATTTAAAAGGCATATTTACAGAGAAAAGGAGAGAGAGATGCCTTCCAGCTCACTTTCCAAATGGCTGCAATAGCTGGTGCTGTGCCAATCCGAAGCCAGGAGCCAGGAGCTTCCTCTAGCTTTCCCACGTGGGTGCAGGGTCCCAAGGCTTTGGGCCGTCCTCCACTACTTTCCCAGGCCACAGGCAGGGAGCTGGATGGGAAGCGGGACTGCCGGGATTAGAACTGGCACCTGTACAGGACGGTGGTGCTTGCAGGCAGAGGATTAGCCCGTTGAGCCACCACTCTGACCCCAACCCTGGCATATTCTTAACACCCATTAACACCTTCTTATCCAAGTCTTGATTCCAGCACCAGCCATCCTGGGGGCACCCCTGTCCTTCCCTGCCTGCACTGAGTCACACCGCACTGATGTGCAGCTTCCCTCTCTCCCGGCTTCCTTGCTCTGCCTCTGTCACAGTAAGAGACCTGTGTCTGTAGTCTCCTGCCCGGTTCCTTAAGCCCGAGGGGATGTGGAGGTGCCGGCAGCACCCCCTGCCATGGAGCACCTGGCAGCGCCTTGGTGGAGGGGCTGGTCGGCAGCAGCACGAAGCCATGGTGGGAAGCTTCAACCTCGCTGCCTCATTCCTGAGTGTCAGGGGAGGAAGGTGACGGTGATGTGTGTGGGCACGCACACACACACACACACACACACACACACACACACACTACGCCTTAGGCATTGGATAACTTCTGGATTCCCATTTCCCGGAGGGTGGTTCACCCTACCTGCCAGGGAACAGAAGCCCCCTGCCCTGGGGGTCCTTCCCGACCTTGTCCTGGTGTCTCTTCACATGTCTAGCACCTGCCACCTTATAAAGACCTTTGTGATAAGGCAGCGAACATGAGCAAGGGTTTCTAAGACTCGTGAGTCACGGGGGGACCCCCAGCTCTGTCACCAAGTCTTCTTCCCTTGGGGCCCCCACACGACGTGTGCCTGGCAGCTGAAGCCAGGGCACTGGGCACTGTTGCAGATCCAAGCCCAGGCTACACGGGACTGTCAGACAGGCAGCCGCAAGAGGGAGACGGGCAGGTGAGCTGGGGGCTGAGCCCGAGGCAGGGCCTTGAGGTTCAAGCGAGGCCACGTCAGGTAGGAGGAACAGCACAGAAGAGAATGGCCATGGGACTGAGGTTTGTAGGTTCAAAGTACTACCCCCCCCAAAAAAACAAGGGGGAGTCCAGCAGAGCCGGCCAAGCAGCAGGGAGGCTGAGCGGGAGGTGGAGCCGGAGAAGTCGCCACGGGCCCGCCTCACCCGAGTCGCCGCGGGGATGAACGGAGTCCCTAATTGTGTTGGCTGCTCAGGGGAAATCATAATTGAATTATGATTTATGAAAACATTCTAGGCAGGAAACAGCATCTGCCAGGACCCTGGAGAGGGGGAGACGGGGCCAAAGAAGCCACAAGGCAGCAAGATCCGAGAGGACAGCGCAGGGCCCTGGGCCAGCACGCGTCACAAACCACGGGGCCTGGGCTTTGGCAAGCCGCTGGGTCTTGTCCAGGACGCGAACAGAGCAGGGGGTACCCCCGCGTGAGCCAGGCGAGATTATTACCCCACAGGACAAGCTGCCCCAACGGAGATGGCAGTCAAGTGACAGGGCTCAGAGCGCTGGCTGGCTGGGCAGGTGGACGGCCATGGTGTTTCTGGACGCCTCGGGGAGGGGCAGGCCTCGGGGAGGGGCAGGCCTCGGGGTGGCAGGAGGTGCTTCCTGCAGGAGCGACGCTGGCAAGCCCCAGGGGCTCCCATCGGAGCCCTGGGTATGGCGACAGTTGCCACTGACCTGCTATCGTCTGCCCATTGGGAGACCACCTCCAAACACCAGTTAACACAAGCGTTTTATTTAGCGGTGGGAAAAGAAGGCGGGAGAAGATACCTCCGTCAGGGGTCGCTCAGGTACCACCGAAAGAACAGCCTGGGGGAGAGAAGCCGGTGTGCATGTGTGCAGGTGAGCCGGAGCGGGCACACAGGTCAGGCACGCGGGCCATTCAGCACACGCCCGCCCATCCTGCCCAGGACGCACGGGCCTGGGAAGGGTGAGCCGTGGGAACTCACCACGCCAGCAGGGTCGCGCTGGCTGATGCACAGGCTGCGGCTGCCGCCAGCAGACCCAGGTTGGTGCGGCTCAGGGTTCCCGGTCGCGCCAGCAGCTCGCCCAGGCTGGGCGTCCAGGGCTCGACAAGCTCGGTGTCCCGTGGCGCCCAGCGCATCACTTCCCGGAATGTGACCTGCAGCTCGGTCTCAGCGCGCGGGGTCGGGCCGGTCACTGCAGTGCGCAGGCAGCTCGTCAACCTGGCAGGCCGGATGGGCGCGGGCCCGCAACCCTTCCCAGCCCCGCTGCGCGTCCCTCACCATTGAGGAAGAAGTAGAGACGTGCCAGCAGGCGCTGGTCTTGCTTGATCACGCAGGAGAAGGTCCCGCTGTGCTTAGGCTGCACCGGCCGGATCCGCGCCAGGTATCCCCGGGCCCCGGGCACCTCTCGGAAGTAGTTCACGTCCTGGGTGCGGAGCTGTTGGATCGGTGGACAGGAGCGAGGCCAAGGGCTCGGACTGTCCCTCTTTCCGTTCTGGGCGTCCGCTGGTCTCCTACAGGCTGCGCCCCCAAACCGGTCCCTGCCCCACACTCCCTAAACCCCGGCACACCTGCCTTGAGCTCCGACCCTTTCTGCTTAAATCCGGGATCCCCAAGTTCACAAAGCCGGAATCAAAGCTGAGCGCCCCCAGGCTGCACCCCGCGCTCCTGTCCTCACCAGCCTTAGCAAAGCCCCACCCCACCCCGGACTCACACCTCCTCCTGCGAACAGCCAGGAATAAGAGATCTCCTCCTGGGGCAGCTGAAAGTTCACGACGCAAGAGAACACGGCCTGATCTCCGCGGGTCACCATCACTTCCTGAACTGAAGGCCGAGGCGGGTCACGCCAACTACCCCCCACACACATACACACATACCGTCCCCAGCCGGGCGCTTCCCTGGATCCCAGCATCACTCAGGGCGGAGGTTCAGGCCCCTGGCACCTGGGCAGTCAAGCGGGAGGTTGCAGCTGCGCGAGTAGCACCCGCGGCAGCGGAAAAGCCGGGCCAGGTCCTGGAGTCCTGCGGGGCAGCAGCACAGGGGTTGCTGGGGGGACCCTGCCAGGTTCTCGGGGTGGAGGTTGGGGCAGGGGCAGACACCCGGTCCTGCCCTCCCTGTGCTCACTGGCCGCCTCACACATCTTCCCGCCCTACGCGACTCCTATTGGTTTGCACGGGCTCCAGGACCCGCTTCCCCGACTCCGCGCTCCCCCACCTCCCTTTCCTGTGCAATCCTGATTTTGGAATGAGTCCTCACCGCAGGGAGGGATGCAGGCCTGAGCTAGAGGAGAAAGAGGAAGGACCCGTTATCACTGCCTTGCAAGTGCCACAGGGACCCTACCTGAACCTGGCCAGGTGATGCGGGTGGGGCCAGATGCATCCCCGGGAGGGTGGGTGGACCTGACGCAGGCTGCTTGCCCACCATTTACAGGGGTGGGCAGGCTCAGAGGGCGAGGCGCAGATGGTGGGAGATGCAGGTAGCAGAGAGAGGCTGGCCCAGGTGAGAGTCCACCAGTAACGGCCCACCTGGGCCAGAGAGGGGTCCTACATGGTGAGCGCAGAGAGGTCCACGCTTGTCCACCCAGCATTTCTGCAGCTGAGGCAAGGGCTTTTGATCGCACCAGTGTGGCTGCGAGCAGGTGGAATCTGCCTTACCTGGTTTAATCTGTGAAATGGCCATTTTCATTTTCCTAGCAGCATTGGCGAAGCCAACCTTGTAGGACCCTGGAGAGGGAGAAGGTACTGAGGTCCTGACTCGTCAAGGCGCCCCTGCCCAGCACCTCTCCACTCTGTCCTGCCAAGGCCACTGTGCCCTGCTCCCTTCCCCCTGCCCCGTTTCTCTGATGCAAAGTTCTCTCTGCATCTATCTTGGGTGGCCCAGGTCTCCTCCTGTTAAGAGGCCAAGGATCGCCCTCCCTAGTGCCCCAGGGCCTTTGCACATGCTGACAGGTCCCAGGGCATCCTCCTCTTTTGGAGTTTCACCCCTCAGGGCTCCCTTGGTTTTTCCATCACCACAGATCCCATCCCATTTGCGGAGTGCTCCACCGCCTCACGTGTGGTTCCTAGCAGTTTGTCACACCACGTGTAAGCCCTAGCATCTGTGTCCCAAGCACGTCTTTCTCAGAGCCCAGGGGAAAGCCCCGGAGCTTCCAAAGCCTCGCCCGGAGCGGCTCTGGCCTCGTGGCTGAGGCGGCTCCAGCTCAGCCGCCCGCACTCCACGTCACAGCGCCCGGGCCTCGCGTCCGCCACCGGCACTGACTAGACACAGCCCCTGGGCGGCAGTGGGTATGGCTCGAGGGAGGGGGAGGCTTTGTCCGCCTCTTGTTTAAAAAATATTAAATTTAGAAAAAAAACAGTGTCCAATAAATATGTGAAGAATGGATCCAGTGCAGTGGCTCCCGGCCCCCGTTCATCCTTCAGGCATGTTCTGTTTGGCCTAGAAAGTGGGATGACTGTGTTGCCAACAGTCACCGTTTGGGAAACTTGAAGAAAATGCTTGGCATTCTTTCTGGGGGAAAGAATAAAGATCAGAACTGCTGTTGCTCAGAGCGCATCCCAACACGGGGCATAATAAACTGTAATAAACCTCCCGTCATCTTTAAATGTTTTTTACTTGGAAGGTGGAGTCACCGAGCGAGGACAGAGATCTCCCACCCGCCGGTTCACGCCCCAAGCGGCTGCAATGGCTGGAACTGCATAGATCTGAAGCCAGGAGCCTCTTCCGGGTCTCCCCCGCGGGTGCAGGGTCCCAAGGCTTTGGGCCGTCCTCCACTGCTTTCCCAGGCCACAGGCAGGGAGCTGGATGAGCAGCTGGGATATGAACTGGTGCCCACAAGGGATGCTGGCATGGCTGCAGGTGGAGCCTTAGTCTGCTATCCCAGGGTGCCCTGAGCCACTGCCCTTTAAACAGGACACCCGCCCATGGCTTACGCCCACTGCCCAGGCTGTACCCTTGGTCCTCTCACCACCTTCTCCGTTCCTGGCTCTGCGTGCTGACCGTCACTACGGCATTCTCCAGCAGCACCTGCAGAGCACGTGGGACACCCGGGTGGAACTCACGGTGGGGAGGTTTCGGAGAAACGTGGGCGGGTGTCCTGGGCTGGTTGTGTCTGTGCACACTCAGTCTAGGAGGATCGCCATCCCATCTCCCTGCCTGACACCGGCTGCGTGTGACCAAGCTGGGGGCCAACCTCCACGCTCAGTCTGAACAGAAACCTCCAAAGGGAAGTGGTGCCATCTTAGGGGCCCAGATTCCCCTTTATCTAATGTGCTGCCTGGAGCTTGGTTCTGACGGCTGGAGCTGCAGCCGCCATGCTGGACCATGAGGACACCGTCTACTTTCCAGGACAATTGAACATAAAGTGGGGGGGGGGAGCACCAGTCTCCTCGGGCAAATGTCTCGGGCAGCTACGTCAAGACGTATTTTGTAGGGAGATGTAAACCGCCTTGCTTAAGCCACTCTGGGGTTGGTCCCTCAGTGATTTAAAGCCACAAATGAAAGCCAAGGGTGGCTGAAGCGACAACCATGAGAGACCCAGGCAGGAAGTGCTGAGGCCCGACAAGTGGCTTGAAATGGAGGGGTCAAGGGTTCAGACGCCTCTTCTTGGCCACACGGTGCAAGTGTGGTGGTCAGGAGGTGTGGTCGGAGAGGGGCCCAGAGGCCAGCACAGTGCAGGAACGCTCCATGGGTCATCGGTGGACCGACCCAAATGGCCCATGCAAAGGGGGTGAGGGACATACCAAATGTGATGGTGGGGGTGGCCTGTTTACAACAGAGCCACCAGAGCAGGCCGAAGGGTAACCCAGACACAGGGAAGTGGGCAGGTGACCATGTGGCCACTTGTGATGGCACGTGGTCGGGCAGTGCCGCCTGCATGCCTGCTACACGCGTGTCACATGAGGCGCTCGAAGGGAACCCAGAAACGGAACTCAATGTCTTTGGGCTCCCCGTCTTTTGGGGTGCGGCCAGTTCTTTCATGACACACACCCTTTCCCCCATGAGCTTTCCGAAGACCCCTGTGGGGCACGGCGCCATGAAGAAATGCTCTCTTCCTTCCGGTCCTTTGGGAACGAGCTGAAGTCCTTCTCTACAGAGGCTTTGAATTGCACTCAGATCCCTGGGCCCACAGCGCCGCGGGTTCCGGTCCAAGGCCGGTGCGTGAAGGCTGGAGGCTGCGTGTGGGCGTCTGGGTCACTGGGCGTGGGAAGGAGGCGAGGAGGGCATGTCGTCAGAGGGCAGGGGGTCACGGACAGTGTTACCGGTCGGAGTGCGAGGGCTGCCCGGCTCTCCTCCTGCTCCCTGGCTCGCCAAGGGCAGCCTCCACAGCTGCCAGACGCTGGGCTGCACTAAGCTTTTCTCCTCCAAAACGTTCCTCGTGGGGGGAAAACAACGCACAGAGGCCAATACGCCAGGGGGCGCTGCAGACGGTCGGTTGAGACTGGCCGAAGCCCAGCCTGGACCACACTGTGCCCCTGTGCCTGGGGTTTTTACTAACAATCCCTGTTACCTGCCACCACTAACGCCTCCACCTCCCTGGGCCCACCCACCCCAGCAGCCCCCATGCCTGGCCCTTTGTCTTCACAGACCCCTCCCAGGTCCTTCCTCCGCCCAGTCCCCCCACCGTCACCTCCAGGTCCCCAGAGCTGCGATGAGGACAGCCCACAGCAGGGGAATACAAGTGACAGTGGCCAGCCGGCAGACACAGCCCGTCTCACGCTGTAGGGCGAGCCCTGCCCCACGCAGCCACAACCCTGGTCCTCCCCATCCCCTGCCCTCAGCTCAGCTCCAGCCACATCTGGGCCCCCCACCCCGGCCAGCACCACCACAGCTGGCCCTGGCCACCTCTAGCCGTCCTCTCACTGGCCTCCCTGCTTCCGGCCAGACCCGTACCGCTTCCAGAAGGATCTTGTGGGACGCCTGCCTCTCCCTCTTGAGGCCCCACCCACCCCCACCTAAACAAGCACACAATGAGATCGTGCCAAGGGCCTCCGGCGGTGATTCCAGAAATGTGTTCTCGTGTGACCTGAGGATCGTGGCAAGTACGTCTCTCTTCCCACCCTGCCTCAGATCCACCACTGCTCAGAAGAAGGCTGAGCAACATGTGTTTTCACAAGTTCCAAAGACGGCCCAGTGTGACAGCCTAGTGACCAAAGTCCCCGCCTTGCATGTGCCAAGATCCCATGTGGGTGCCAGTTCGTGTCCGGCTGCTCCACTTCCCATCCAGCTCCCCGCCTGTGGCCTGGGAAAGCAGCTGAGGACGGCCCAGAGCCCTGGACCCATAAACCCACATGGACGACGCAGAAGAAGCACCTGGCTCTGGCCTTTAGCCTGGCACAGATGTGACCATCTGGGAAGTAAGACAGTAGATGGGAGATTTCTCTCTGTAACAGTCTTTCAAATCAATATTTTAACAATCTTAAAAATAAATAAATAAACAAACCAGCTAGCAGGAGGACTCCCCGGGTACGTGCGTGGCCCCCTCGCCTGCTCCAGGGCTTGGCTCACACGTGTTTCCTCAAAAGTCATCACCCCATTACCTTCCTGTTCCCCCTCTTCCTCCTGGGCACAGACCCCCAACGGACGCAGCAGCGGACCTACTGCGTGTGGCCGCTCTGTATCCCCAGCCAGCACCAGCCCCGGGGGCAGGCAGCCAGGTCACACTCGGTGGTCTCAGAGTCTCCCTCTGACCTCTCTGCCCGTTCCCGGGTCCCCCACATCCTCCGGTAGCACTGCCAGTCGCCCACGTCTCAGTTGAGCCCAGCACTGGGTGCCCCAGCTGCCCGCTGCACCTTCACCCCAGCCTCCACGACTTCCGGGCTGTCCTTGCTTCCCGGGCAAACAGCCTGTGCAGGGGAGAGGTCACTTCCTGGACTCCCGCAGCCCACCCTCGCCTCCCCAGCGCCTCTCTTTGGGCGGAGATACGGTCAATACCTTGCCCATCGGATCCCTGGCTGCCCCTGCATGGATGGCAACTTCTCCCACTTTGGAAGTCTCTGGCAACAAGCTGGCGAGCTCCTCCTGGACCCCAGGCCCGGCTGGTGCACCCTCGGCCGGACCTTCGGCCCCTCCCGCAGTCCCCTGCTACAGGGCTGCAGGAGCCAGTCCCCGTTCCCCTGGCCACACCGAGGCCCCTCTGCACGGCCGCGATCTGTCCTCAGCCACCACCTGAGGGACCACTCCACTCCTGTCCCTCCTGCCCCGCCTTGCAACGGCCTCACACCAAAATGCAGAGTGTTCGACCAGCCCAGGCACCTCGCCACTGCTGGCCTGTGCCCGGCTCTCTGGGCTCCCCCTCACCCCAGCCCCCACAGGGCCAAGTGACAGCACGGCCCAGCTCCCCAGTCGCCCTCTCCCGGCATCTGCCCACCTCAGGAGGGCGACCCCGGCCAGCACCACTCACCCCGGGAGGCAGCCAGCTCCTCCAGGGAGTGGGTCATCTGGGTGAAGGTGTCATGCAGGTGGCTTCTCTGACTGTAGTCTGGGGAGGGGCGGGGCACGGGCGTCACGCTCCATTGCCCATCCTCAGGGCCTGGGTCTCTATCCTGCAGGCTGGCCCTGCAGCCTCTGCCTGGCCTGTATCCTCTCTCCACACGCCCTCCTCGCCCCTCTCGTCCACCCCCCACCCCCCCCCCCGGGCTCTGTCTGCCTCCCTCCCCATCCCGCCAACACCCCAATCTTTCTTTCTGGGTCTCTACTCCCCAGGTCTCTATTCTCATTCATACAGTCTCTCTCCCTGCCCCTCCCCAACCTCCAGATCTCTATCTTCCTGTATCTACCCCCAGGGCCTCAATTTTCATTCTCTTGTGGACCTCTATTCCCCTGAGGGTCTCTGTCTAGGTCTCTCCCTCGCCCCCTCTCTCTCTCTCTCTGGGTCTCCCGCCCCCACCCCACCAGGTCTGTCCCCTGCTGGCTCTCTGGTCTGCCCCGCCCACGGCTCTGGGTCCCATCTTCCACCCCTCACCCCGCCAGGTCTGTCCCCCTCTCTCTCTCTCTGGGTCTCCCGCCTCTGGCTCTCTCTGCTGCTGGGCTTCTGTGCCGGGAGCTCCTCTGCCGTTCTGAGCCTCTCTTCCCTGTGGGTCTCCTCATCCCCAGCTCCCGCCCCTCTCTCTCCAGGTCTCCGGTGTCCCCAGGGCCCAGCATCCTCACCAAACTCCACATCCAGGAGCCCCTTGAAGGCGGCCGTGAAGGCCTCCTCACACTTCTCCTGCTCGGGGCCCAGCCTGCCCGTGAACATGTGGCAGATGCGCAGGCGCTGTGAGTAGCTGGTGAAGCACAGCAGGCAGGCCTGTGCAGCCGCGCCCAAGGCCACGAGTGCCAGCAGGGCCGGGACCACCAGGGTCATCCTGAGGCAGGGCAGTGTCTCCAGGAAAGAACTGATGGCCTTTATGAGGTCACTGCACAGTGGAGGCAGGGCCAGAGGTCAGAGGTCATGCTCCGGAGGGAGGAGGCGGGCGGGCTGGCCCCAGGTTTGCGGCTGGGCCGGACACCAGGCTCCCGAGAACCTCACCTGTGACCCTGGGTGTCCTCACAGGTTAAAGGGTCTCAGGGACCCGGAGGCCGGCAGTGCCGTGTCCAGGGGCCCAGCTGGACGGCAGTGCCATGTCCAGGGACCTGGTGGCTGGCAGTGCTGTGTCCAGGGGCCCTGCAGGCTGGCATTGCCGTGTCCAGGGGCCCTGCAGGCTGGCAGTGCCGTGTCCAGGGGCCCAGCAGGATGGCAGTGCTGTGTCCAGGGACCCTGCAGGCCTGGCTGGGCATGAGATGGAGAGCGGGACAGAGACTATCTGATTGCCAAGAGAGAGAACGAGGGGGACAGGAGGGCCGGAGACCGACACCGGCCACTGTGCTGAGTCCCTGGTGGCACGTGCCACGGACAGAGAGCCCGCCAAGACAGTCAGACACGGAAGACAGAACACATCCCGGGCGGGCACTGGGCCAGCTGCTCTCCGGGGTCCCCGCCGCCCCCGGGGTCCCCGCCGCCCCGTCCCGTGCAGGGCGCAGCCTGGGGAAAGCTAGGAGGCCGTATAGTGATCTCCGTGGGTGTCCTCCTCAACTATACAACCTCCTACCTCAGCCCGGGGGGCGCGGCGGGCGGTGGGCGGACGGGCAGGCGGGCCAGGAGGGCCGGGGGCTCCGAGCCGCGACCGTGAGCCCCCGACACAGACCCACAGACACGAGCTTGTGTGCGGCGAAGGCCCCGCAAGGTCGGTTCTACGGGTGGGTGCCAGGACCCAGGAGTCCGGGCCCCCGGCCCCCTCCTCCCCAAGGAACCCAGGGGCCCAGTGCCAGCCCCTCAATCAGACCTGGGGTCCAGTCCCTCCTCCCTCACACCCAGGGGTCCAGCCCCTCCTCCCTCACACCCAGGGGTCCAGCCCAGCCCCCCCTCCCTCACACCCAGGGGTCCAGCCCAGCCCCTCCTCCCTCACACCCAGGGGTCCAGCCCCTCCTCCCTCACACCCAGGGGTGCAGCCCAGCCCCTCCTCCCTTGCACCCAGGGGAGCAGCCAGGGACTTCCCTCCCCTGGGGCAGCACAGTGTGCCCTGGCCTCCTGGGCGCCAGCTGCCGTGAGCCTCACCTGTCTGGGAACCTGGCCACAGCGGGGGCCCCTCCCTGTCGGGCCACAGAAAGGGCAGGCCCAGAGCTCGGGCCAGCCGGGTGATGGTGACACCCTCCCCTCCCCGGGGCTCTGACCCAATCCCGGCCCAGCCCTGAGCATCGTCACCTGGGGGGGAGAGCAGGTGAGGCCACGGTGGCCTGCAGGAGGAGCGCCCCACCCCATGCAGCCGGCCTGGGCGCCTCGCCGGGGCAGCCTGAGCTGTCCCATGCCGGCCTGCAGCGCCCGCCCGCCCGCTCTCGGCCTTACCTGGCCTTTGCCTATTTCTGCTTCTTTCTCAGTTTGTCTGCCCTGCTTCCCGGCTGCCCCTGCCTGCCTCTCTCTCTCTCTCTCCATCGCCTGGGGCCTCGCCCCTCTCCCGCCTGCCCCTTCCCAAGGGAAGGTCTCTCTCCCCATCCTCCCCTTCTCCCTCTGCCTTTGTCTCTCCTTCCCTGACCTTCCGGGCCTCGCTCTCCCCTCACGCCGTCGCCCCGTTCCCGGGGCCGCCGCCTCAGCTCGCCCCTCGGCTCGCCCGTCTCCACCGCTCCCTCCGTCCCTCGCGCGGCCTTTCTCCTCCCCTCCCCCACCCTCCCTCCCTCCCTCTCCCTCTCTCTCTCTCTCTCTCTCTCTCTCTCTCTCTCCTTCCCTCTCTCCCTCCCCCTCAGCTCCGAGCCAGGTCTGGAGCTGGCGCTGGGGTGGGGGTGGTTCGAGAAGGGGCCCCGGGCTGGGGTAGCGACCTGCTGAGGAGGGGGAGAGGAGGCGGGAAGGGGGCGGGGAGGCCGGGCGGGGTGGGCAGGCGGGGGGCCGGAGACGGGTCCAGCATCCCGGCCCGCCGCCCCCTCTTCCCTGCCGGCCTCCGGCGGGGGCGAGCGGCGGGCCAAGGTGGGGAGGAAGGGGAAGGGAAGAGGCCGCCCCCGCCCCCCCCACAACCTGGCCCGGAGCCCAGGCCCGGGTTCCCGGCATGCCCCGGGGCCGCCTGGGGCCTGCGGAGGGGTGCGGGGAGCGGGGCGCCGCCGGCCGTTCGATCCCCGGGACCCGCGCGTCGCCCCCCGCCCCGCGCTCGGGGGCCGCGCCGGGGGGTGGGCCGAGGGCTGACTCAGGACTTGTTCAAGGTCACGGGGCAGCCCGCGGGTGGAGACGCGGTCGGCGCTCGGACACCAGCCCCGCCACGCAGGGCCCTGCTCCGGGGAGGGGAAGCGGGTGGCGCGGCGGGCCGGGCCCCGGGCAGGGGTCCCCCTCCCCCTCGCCGCGGACCCTGGGGAGCCCCCAAGGGTCAGAGAGCAGACCCAAACAGTCTGGCACCATGGCAACCGGCTGGCCCCGCCCCCTTAACCCCTGGAGGGCTGGGCTCCATCTGGGGCCGGAGAGGAAGAGGTTTGCGGGGGGCGCGCGCAACTCGGGGGTTCGGGGACCCCGAGCCCCTCCCCGGGCCTCCCCCCCTTGGTCCCGGCTCCCGAGGCCGGGCGCGGATTCGGAACTCGGGGTGCGGAAGGCGCCGGGGTGTGGGGGGCGCAGACACCTGAGTCTCCCCCGCCGACCCCCTGCACGCGCGCACAGCCCCGGCGAGGCGGCCTGGGGGGGGGTCGGGGTTCCGGAGTGGCGCCCCCCACCCCCAGCCCCGGACCGGCCATCCCCGGGCCAGCCGCACCGCAGGGGCCTCTCCTCCGCCAGACATCCCCTGCCCCCGGCGCTGACCCGGGCCTGTCTGGCCGCCCAGACGCCCGGCCCCCTCCCCCCGGCGCGGCTCACCCTTGACCCCTGCCAGCCCCTCGGCAGCCCCAACCCTGCCCGCCCCCTCCCGCCGGACGTTAACCCTTCGGCTGCCGCCGGCACCTCGCGCCCCCCACCCCGCCCCGGCGAGGGAGGTCTCGGCGCGCCCCGGCTCCCCCACACCCAGCCTCTGCGGACCCCCAGTCGGCGGGGGACCCCCGCGTTAGACTCACGGCTCCCGCGGCTCCCGCGTCGGAGGAGGACCTGGAGGGGGTCCCCCTGGCCAGCCCCGGGCGGGCGGGCGGCCGCCGCGTCCTCCGCATCCTCCGCGGCCCGCCGCTCCCCTTCCTCCCGCCGTCCCCGCCATCCTCCTCCTCCTCCTCCTCCGGCGCTGCGGTGCGGGGCGCCCCCTCCGCGGACCCCGTCTCCGCCGACGCGCGGCCTCGGCCCGGCCCCCTCCCCGCCGCCCAGCCCCGGCCCCGGCCCCGGCCTGGCTTCCCCCACCCCCCATCCCCTGCCCCGGAGCTGGCCCCGGTCCAGGGGAAAAAATTCCATCCAGCCCCGGGGAGGAGCAGCGGGGCGGGGAGGGCGCGGGAGGGGAGGCCGGGCCGGGGAGCGTGACGCAGGGCGGAGGGAAGGGACAAAAGAGAGCGGCCGGCGGCGGCGGGGCCCGCGCCCGCTGCGCCTCCCTCCTCCCGGGCCGCCGGCTCCCGCTCGCCCCTGCGCCTCGGCCGGCCTGCCCGCGCCCCCAGCCCGCGCCCGCCCGCGCCCCGCGCTCCGCTCCCCTCCTCCTCGCCCCTTCTGTCCCCCTCCTCCCGTGTCTCTTCCCCCTCCCCCCTCTCTCCTTCCCTCCCTCTGCCTCTCTCCATCTCCTTCTCCGTCGCCCTCTCTCCCTCTCTTTTCCTCTCCTTCTCCCCTCCCTCTCCCTCCCTCTCTCCTCCCTCTGTCTGTCTTGGTTGGTCTGCGCGTTCTTCCTGTGCACCCCCCCCCTTCCACCTTCACGGCGGCAGGGGCTGCCTCTCTGTCCCTCTCTCTCCCGTCCCCTTCATCCTCCCCCAGGCCGCTTTCCCTCCTTTGGCCTCCGTCCCTCTCTCCTCTTTCTCCCTGCACTCCCTTCTCTCCACTTTGGTCTCCCCATGAGGACTGGATTCCCCCAGGATGTGAATCAGGCCCTGGTCTGCCCTTGCTCGCCCATGGGCCTGCCATGAGGGAGGAGGTCAACCCAGCCTCGTCTCCATCTAGGGTGACAGGGAGTGACCGTCCCTCCAGGGAGAGACCAGAGACCAGGGGAACCCAGAGCACTCAGCTGGCAGTGGCCAGGGCCATGCAAGCCGAGGGTACCAGCCGGGGCCATGCAAGCCGAGAGTACCAGCCGGGGCTGTGAAGGCCGAGGGCACCAGCAGGGGCCATGCAAGCTGAGGGTACCAGCAGGGGCCATGCAAGCCCAGGGTACCAGCAGGGACCATGCAAGCCGAGGGTACCAGCAGGGGCCATGCAAGCTGAGGGTACCAGCCGAGGCCATGCAAGCTGAGGGTACCATGCAAGCTGAGGGTACCAGCCGGGGCTGTGCAGGTGGGGACTGTGTGGACTGCCAGAGGAGGTGGTGGGGATGCTGGAACACCCCAGGAGCCTGGCTCAGGACCGCCAGAGGCAGCGCTGCGCCCACTGGGGCTGTGGGAGAGGCAGGCTTGGGCCTTGGCGGAGGACATTGAGGCAGTAGTGGCTGTGTATCCAGCTGCCCGGTGCTGACTGGGGGACTGCCTTCTCATTTCTATCCAGTGGAATTTTGTCCAGCTAGACGCACTCCCCTCTTTTAATCCCCAGAGGAACCCCCTTGCCTTTTAAAACATTATTCCAGAAAAATCCCCCACTAGCATGCAGTAGAATTACCTCAGTTTGTTTTGAAGGCTGTGTACTATTCCACTGTATACTCTTCTTTATCCGTAACCGAGCAGTCAGCTTTGAGGCTGGGAAATCATCGGAAACAAATGCCTACGCACATTCAAATGCACTTTAAAATGTTCATTTATTTCAAAGGCAGAATGACGGTGGGCGGGGGAGAAGAGAGATGTTTTCTGCTGGTTCACTCTCAGAATGGCCACAAGAGCCAGGGCTGGACCAGTCATGTCATCCGGGTCTCCCACAGGGGTGGCACAGGCCCAAAGACTTGGGCCGTCATCCACTGCTCTCCCAGGTGCGTTAGCCAAGGGAGCTGGATTGGAAGTGGAGGGGGCGGGATTTGAACCAGTGTCCACATGGAATCTGGCATCCCAGGTAGCTGCTTCACCTTCTACTGGTTCTTTTTTAAAGATTTATTGTTTTTTTTTTAATTATTGAAAGATCAGGTATATAGAGAGGGGGAGACTGAGAGGAATATCTTCCATCTGATGATTCACTCCCCAAGCGGCCCCAATGGCCAGAGCTCAGCTAATCCAAAGCCAGGAGCCTCTTCCGGGTCTCCCGTGCGGGTGCAGGGTCCCAAGGCTTTGGACTGTCCTCCACTGCTTTCCCAGGCCACAGGCAGGGAGCTGGATGGGAAGCAGGGCTGCCAGGATTAGAACCAGCGCCCGTATGGGATCCCGGATCATGCAAGGCCAGGACTTTAGCTGTTAGGCTACCATGCGGGGGCCCCTGCTGGTTCTTTTTAAAAGGAGTGATTTCATCTGATACATTGAAGCCTCTGAGTGGAGAGCTTGGGTAAACACTTCTTGGGGTCCTTTAAAACCTGTTGATAACGCCTGAGGGATAAGCCTTCCTTTATGGGCAATTTCACTTTCTGAGATTTCGTTACTTTGTTACTTGCATTTTAGCAGTGGAAAACTCCAAAAAGAAACAATTCATTGATCCACATAGTTCAATCCTGCCAGCAGCCCCTCTTGGGTCACTCTTCTCCCCTCGGGTGGAGCCCCCATGCTGTGGGGGTGGACCCTGCCGGTCCCTTGCTCCCTGCAAGTCATTGGAGCGAGCGAGCGAGTGTGAACACCAGAGGTTGAGAGCAAGCCTCCCCCTGCTCCTTGCACAGGGCTGGGCTGCCTCTGCTGACTTCTCCGGCACATCTAGTCTTGTCTGGCACACAGATTCACACGGCTTTGACAAAAGCCCTTTGTCCATTCCTTGTCCTGTGCTGTGGTGTCTGGGTGGCTGTCCCTCTGTGTCCCCCACAGATGACCTGGAGATAGGTCAGGAGTAACTCTCCTCGGCTGTCCCTTTGTTCCCCCACTCCGGTTCTGCCAAGGGAGGGCTTGTCCTGGGAACGCATCGAACGCCCGGTCCAGGTCAGAGTCCTTTCTGTCCCCAGTGTCACCCAAGATAGACATGACTCACAGGAGCAGCCTGAGACTCGGGACCCGCTAACTGTTCCCACCAGCTCCCAGAACTCACAACCTATCCTGGAGGCCCTGGCAACCATTCCCATGAGCTGCTGGGGCTGGAGGGCCACCTCTCCCATCAGCCCTTGGGGGCTCAGCATCCACCTTTCCCATCAGCCCTAGACTGAGCACCTTGTGGCTCTCATCAGGCGT